ACGGGAATAAATATGGGAATAAAAATGCTTGGCCGGTTTTAAACAAGGACGTTTAAAACCGTCTAGGAGCCTGGTCGCTGATAATGGCCCGAGCCATTAAAAGCGTAACAGGGAACAGATTTCATAGGAGTCAAAATTTCATGTGACACCGGAAAAGTGTTAAAAACCAGCCAGCTGGTGTTTTATCAACCGTTTAAAACCACCCACGTGACGGGCTCTCGACCAATAGGAATGGGTAATCTGTCTCAAATATTTATGAATAAAATTTAAATGGCGTTGTAAATTGCAATATTAATTGATAGCACTCGCACTGCTCACTGAAGCTTTAACCTTCAGTGAACATGTGGGTCATTCTACAAATTTGGGGTCCACTTTTTTTTGCTGTCCCTGTTATATCTGACATCTATACACTGCAAAAACTGTAGTGTTAATTTAACACCATTCGGTATCTATATAGGACAACACCAGTAAAATTTAATACCAGATGGTCCTATATAGATACCAATGGTGTAACACTCCAGTTTTTGCAGTGTATGATTTTGTAAATCTGGATACACTCTATGTATCTTTCTCCAAGAGTGATTATGTAAAGCATACGACCAACCCAGCAAATGAAAATTAGCTTGAAGTCATTTTTAATGACACTTGAATGACAAATGACAAAGTGCAGGGATAACTGGGACAGGAAAAATCACCCTTTGGACCCAACATTTGTAGAATGATCCATGATGACGTATTCTCCCAATGAAATATAATCTGAGTACAGGGTGAGTCCAAACGAAAGTGACTTAATGAGAAAAAAATTCATGTTAATAAATGTATGGCTCGCTCCATTTAATACAAAAAAATACAGGGATAAAGTACATATTATTGACAAGTAACTGTGAAATATTCACGTAATTTGTATACTATGTTCACAACTTATGTTTATTTCAGTACAAACGTCCCGAAATTCAGCTGTCCACCAATGATCGTTCAAATCCAATATTTTATCGGTCAAATACAATAAAACGACGGCGCTTTCCTGCCTTCTTGAATGAACGAAAAGTTGCCCAAGAAAACAGACAAAAAATAATGTTTCAGTGTTGACAAAAATTATAAAAATCTCCTCGGTATCTAAATGCGTCTTGGCTCTCAGCTCGATAGCTTGACATGGTATTTCATGGATGGACAGCTTACAAACGGATTTTTTTTAGCAAAACATGCCTAACCGTTCTGATAGCATGGATCAATTTCAGTAAATCCCTTTTTTCCCCCAAATGAGTGGATAAAATATGCTGGTTTAATACATGCTTCTTTGATGTGTCAAATTTAATTGCTTTTAAGGGGAGAAATAATCCAGGTCCATTTCTTTTTGACTCACCCTGTATACCTTTAAAAGGTGACTTCTTATTCTAACCGGTATATATTCCTTACTGTCACGACTACCACCGTACTTTGCTGTGTAAAACAAAGATTTACATAAAGTAGTTTATAAAGGGGGAAAAGCACCCTTATACACTTGTAAAAACACCAAGGAAATATGCACACACTTATCGAAGAATAACTGTAATGAGATGTTACATGTATTAAAAAAAGAAGAAGAAGAAGAAGAAGAAGAAGAAGAAAAGATAAAGATTCCATGTTGTTTGTGTATCGCACGTCCGTGATTTCACCGACATCGGGTTTAACATTCACCAGAAAATCGTTCGACTTTCTCTTTGTCCTCGTTCGAAATATCCGAACCAGTCGGGCAGAATTACATGCACTTTTCATCTCCAAGAGCTCGCATCTGTACACACTTCCCATTAGAGTTTCTGATTTGAGTGATCGTGATGTTTTTTTAGCGCTATATATTGCACTTTCCTCTCCGTAAACCCGTCTTTCGCTGAAAAAAAGCTTGACGAGTCCCGTGCTCGTTTATGATTGATGGTCGTATCCCTCAAACCGATATTGAAGTCGAAGTCAGACTGATCAGGACTAGGTTTTTTAGGGGGTCGTTAAAAATGAAATTGACGAAATTGACTCCAACGGAGATGTGCCCTGCTGTATTTTGTTTTAACTTGAATGAGGCATATTCTAGAAGGGTTGACACACTTTTTGGTGGGGCTGTCACAGCCACTTCTAAATTTAATTAACCTAATTCAATTCAGGCCTAGTTCAAACGAATTTGTGAGAGTATATTTACGAGGTTTCCAATCTAGGTCGGGATCGTATTCCAGGTAAAATGCGTTATCGATTTATTCGAACAAAACTACCAATCGCATATTCAGTCTCGTTTGAAACGGTTATATTTGGGGCAAAAGTATGAGGACGGCTTTTGAAATAACTTGTCAAATCTTTGCGTTGAGCTACACGGTTATTGCATTAGGAAATACATTTTGACAGTATTCGAATTTGGACAGTATTCGAATTAACTTGTCAAATCTTTGTTTTGAGTTGTCAACCGTATGCTTAGTTCATTGCCCAGTGTGTCAAACGAGCCCTACTCGGTTGTAAGCTAATGCGATTCTGTTGCAGGTATAAAACAGGTAATTATTTTTGCGGTTATAATAATTACCGAAAATGGGTCAGTTGGGAGACATTTCCATAGACTTGTGCACAACATTTTTCAAACTTAAATGTGTCCTAACCCAATTTTCGAGAATGGGTCATTTGGGAGACATTCCCATAGACTTGTACACACAACATGTTTCAAACTTAAATGTGCCCTAACCCAATATTCCCTTGTCCTTTTCCCACGAATTTCGGTATTTTTACTAATTAGACCACGAGCAACAAATATAACCTGATTGCGACAGCAACATTTTGCCTCTAAAGGGGGGCTGTGGAATTAGGGAGACATGAAAATGTCTCCCTAATGGTCTCCCTAATGACCAGTGTCTCCCTATTGTCGAAGAGATTACAATAACGTGTCTCCCTAATGGTACATTTGTGGGAAAATGTCTGCTCACAAATTATTATAACAATGAACCATTCTGTTAAAGGTAATACACGGTAACGTTTACAAACATTCAAAACAAAACCTACCAAACTTTTTGTTATGAAATACCTTACTTGACTGCATGAAGTGAATAATAGTCTCCAACATGCCGTCAATGGGTGAAACCTCTTCAGTCTTGTTTCTTGCATTCGATTAGTGTTATCTTTGCCGTCGTCTGAGATTTACTAGACTAAGACGCTAGGTGTTTGGTCGCGTCATAGACTCGGTCGAACTGTCTGCTATTTTCAGAACTACAACGTAGACAATGACAATTTTGAAGGAATTCAGCTTAATGTTTTTAACTTTTTAATGCAAGTCAAGTCCAACCAGGAGCGGCGGAAGGCGGGCCTGGGAAAATCGGGGGGTGAGTGCCCCCCCCCCCCCCTGCCCCCACCCCAACCCTGTTCCGCCGCCCAAGAGTCAAACTGTTAGCCTCATGATCTGATTTGTTTTTTTTTTTACGACACCAACAGAATGAAATAATGTTCCGGCCTTTTTGTAAATAGTTTTAGGAAAATATTATTTTGTGGACGTCTTTCTGGGGTCCATTTTTTTCACCTTTTCATGAATATTTTGTCACATTCATCATTCTAAAAAAAAGTACACCTGTTTTTGTGTTACTCTGGAAACATATACAGTCAGTAATACTCTGTAGAAGCTAAACTCGATCCAAAGGTCGGTATAAACACATGTGTACTCTGGCGCGTCTGATTTATTAGTAGGTAAACATTGTATGATGTTCTTGCCAACGATGGTGAAGCCGTAATTGTAACTAAAAGGTTTTTGTCTTAGAAACAAACCATGCAATATAACGTTCACCGTGCTAAATTGCTACGCCGATGTTCTTTGCCAATGTTCACATATTAAAGGCACGACTTGTTATAACTACAAAAAGCTATTCTCTGCAACCCTATACGTAGTTCATGAATAATTGCTACAAGATAGTCTACGTATAGATACTCACAATGTGACGTGCTGTTAATTATGAAACGTCAGGAATCATACCTCCCCACTCGTTTGAATCTAGTGGCTGTTGGGCGTGATAATAATAATAATAACAATAATAATACCGGAGTCTAATATAGTGCACGTATCTACCAACAATTAGGTACTCAAGACGCTGGTAATTATGTATATTTTTAAAGACAGGTAAATGAAGTTAATGAGAAATGTGAGCCCCATATGTAGCACCTTATGAGGGTTTACAAGATGCTACGGCGCATATTGCAGCCACTGCCAGAAATACCGGGGCAAACCCCTTCTCTTAGCGATAAGTGTTACTGGGTTCTGTAACGTGCATTACACAACACACGGGACCTACGGCTTTACGTCCCATCTGAAGGACGAAGCAATAATGGTAAAGTGCCTTGCTCAAGAGCACAAGCACCATGATCCCCGTCAGGATTCGAACCACGGCACACGAGTCGAACACTGTAACCATTGGACCACAGTACCCCACCGTGATCACTGGATTACCCGTCAGATTTATCAAATTATCATCACAAGTTGATCAACAGGTATTTTTTTCCAGGTTACCATTAAAACACTGGGAATGAGACATTTTGTATTCACCAACCACAGCATCAATGTTCCCCAGTTCCTCCACACACTACGAACATGATAAGCATGCACTAGATCTCACCAAAGTTCACATGAATTTGTGTGTGTATATTTGGTTACCAGGCAAACATCCATACATGATTTAGAGCTATAGTGTCATGAAAATGAAAATGGGCACCCTGCCATGTGACAAGGTGTGTAAACTCACGCTGATGAGATCAATTGGACAAATGACATGGTCTTCAATAAGAGGGGTCTTTTACGTATAATACATGGCAGTCATTTATTAGCAATTTATAAAGATCGACTCAGACTCTTTGGCAGCAAGTCGTAGTCGATAACCATAGAAACCAACGCGACACACGCAAGCACGCAGGCAGCGTTAGTTGCTATTTAAGCAGGCACCACCAAGCGACCAACACAATCACACAACTCGGGCAGTGTCTAATGTGCATATCATCTTCTGTGTGTTCGTTTACTGTAGATAGCTGGCTAGCTACCTGGAGATCTCACGTGGAGGGTGACAGGACGCTGATTTATCATCGCAGGTCGCATTGGCGCAAGTCACTACATGGAGGCGGGCACAAGGCGTTTCATCACACGGCTCAAGTAATGACGATGATCCCTCCAGACGGACCGCGATTAATAGATTTGGCTTGAGGACGGGAGCTATCCACGTGCGGCAGCTGTTGAACATCGGACGCCGTTCCATTGACGGAGTTCTGAAATGGTAAGTGAAGTTACAACTGCAACTGAAGACCTTATTCTACGTTGTGATAACAGGACTGCCGTAGGCTGTAAACTTGAAGGAATGCTTGTGTGACAAGAAATCAAAACTGTTCTCTGTTTTACGAAAGTAACATAATTGAAATAAATTGATCCTTTTAGCGTTTGTACCGTACAGGAACTATCAGTTATACTTGATAACGGTTCAAGATGCCCACTTTTAATATTTTGGCCATTCGAAATTATAAATACCGGTCAATCCACAAAAACGACATGAATTAAGATAGGCGTACTAGTAAGTGGTAGAACGGATTGAATTAAATTGTAACAAATTCACAACTAAATCATTAAAATGAGATTTCAAAGGAAATTGTCAATGCAAAAAGCATTGTTAAGATTCTTTAAGACACTGGCAGTGTCTTGCAACAAATATATGCAATCCGCATTCAGTGCAGCATCACTTGCCAAATCTAACGTCTGGGCGCTGTAGGCTACCATTTTCAAAGTTCATTTATTTAATTTATTTATTTATTTATTGCATTTTTTTTTACCTAGGGTGTGCCCAAACAGTTTAAAACTGGTTACTATTGGGGCCCTTCATACACTACTAATGTTATACACACAAAAACAATACATTACAAATACAATACACCACAATGAATTAAAATAAAAGCATACGAGATTACTGCATGATCTCAAAGCAACTATTTCAAATATTGTACAACATTACAAAGAAACATATACAGTTTGAAACGACATTCATCTGAAAAAAGTTTCGTATAAGAAAAAATGTGTCGTTCAAAAAAAAAAAAAAAAAGAAGCAAGCAAATTGTGGTCAAGAATACAGTGAAATGCACCATTTTTATTAGCCCCGTTTTTTTCATTGGGCTGCGTGGCTGACTGGCCTACCTTCAGCAGATCACCTGATGCCCCGCGGCTATCCTAACGCATTCGCATTATGTTGTCTTGTATGCGCTACACGAAAAGAAAAAAAAACATTTCCTATTTTTCCCCACACTTTTTGGGTCTTCATTTACTAAATGTGTTGTCCTTGATTGATTTTTTTTTTCACGCGGTCGTCGTAATTTTTAGTTGTGGTATCTCTGGTTAAAATGAATTAATGGGACGCGATGTAAATTTTGCTTGTCGAAGGTATGTGGCGACAAGGCCACTGCCATCATTCCTATTGTGTGAACGAACAGAATTGATGTAAATGATGCCGTGGCGTAATTGCAAGGCGAGCAGGGGTGCGTTTGGGTTGAAAGCCTTTTCTTTAAAATAAAGGTATCCTTTTTATTTTATTTTGTTGGTTCTCATTTCCGACCGACCCTATTTTCAGCTCACGACCCCCCAAACTAAAAACGTTTTATTACTGCCGACCCTGTGTGGAACTCCGATCACAAAAAACCCCAATTAACAAATCAGCAAAAATGAATATTTAATTCAAGCTATCAGGCTCTGCGTTATTTGCAAAGCTGTTGAAAATGAGTGCAAGATTTTTACGCGAAGTACGGCGAATAGCAACCAGTGGATTCCCAGAAGATGAGAGGATGTTGCCTCTCATCATATTGTAAGACCTAAATTAGGGTACTCCCTCAGACTGACCATTACGTCAGTCCATGGTCAGTCTACCTTTACTCAGAAATGATGTCATAAGCTATGTTTTCCTTATATGACATCATCTCCTATTTTCACCCAAAGTTGCTCCTCAGAAATTGTATAAAATGTCCCCATTTTCCCACTTTCACTGAGTTCTTCTTCTTCTCCCTGGGAAACAGAGGCATAGCCATAAGCTGATTCAGCCCTATGCTCTGGCCAGTCTTCATCTACGATATTCTGTCTTCCGTCTCCTACTTCTGTAATTATACAAGACCAGGTTTTAATTGAGTTCTTGAGAATAAAATAGTTTCTCCATATAGCTGAGCTCATACCAGTGTGTCTTTGTATTCTTCGTAGTCATCGTTCATCCCGCTCTTAGCCACAGCTACCGTATCCTAACATATAAGTATAGTTAAACATCCCAAAGACTGTATCACCAAATCTATACGTTACAATATTATTAGGTGTCTATAGTATACCTTTACTGGCATGTCATGGCTGCCAATACTGGATAAACGTTAGTGACGTGCTTGGTGCAGATTGACTGCAAGTCAAAATGTTTTTTTTATTATGTTATACGTTGATATCGATTCACGATAAACTCATTACAGTAAACAAAACTATAGAGACAACAGTACGCACTTGGCATTTAATTTAGCCATCTACACGGATGGAATTCTGTTTTGTTCTTCAGATATTTATTGTATTGTTTCTTCGACCGACCGACCCTACTACATAGGCATTTGTTTTTGAGAAACTCTAGCCTAATAAAAAGCCCATCTTTGCTTTCCCAACATTCTTAATGGGGTCACACAGGGGTCATAGGCCTTGAGAGGGGCGTGGTGGTGGAGTGGAAGCCGCAACCTATCCCCCTCCCAGGCGCGGTTCTACAAGGGGGAGGGGGCTGAAATAGCAGTAGCGAATGTTAGAAGGTGACGTCACTTCCCAACCGTCCCCCCCCCCAAAAAAAAAAAAAAAAAGGTTAGCTATATAGCCGGCCAGGCGCGGATCAAGAGTGGGTGGTTTATGTGTCAACCCCCAGCTCTATTGAAAAATGTTGAAAATTGTATTTATAACAATAACGTACATGTCCTATAGTGTGCATTATTGTAGGATTTGATCAGCGCTCCCCATTGAAAATATGGTAGGAGTCCCCCCCCCCCCCCACCAATTACTGATTTTCTGAGGCCTAAGTGTCCGGAGAAGAAACCGGTCAACACTTCAGTACGCCTCCCTGCACAAATTTCTGGATCCACCCCTACCAGCCCCCCTAAAACATAGGCTCTAGAACCACGTCTGCCCCCTCCTCTTGGTTATACGCAACTGACATAAGTGCTGCTTGAGTGGTATACAAAGTTATTCAGGTTCGATTGTTTTACTTTACCTAAAAAAGTTCCGTGAAAAAAAAAAAGACCAGGTGCTTTGTGCAACGTATCCTATAAATCCTTCCGTACAATTCAAATAATTTGTACACAGAGAAAGAACACAAAATCTCAAATCCTTCTTTTATCGTCAAGTATATACGCGCACAGTTGGAACAACTCATCAATTTTGTTTCACTTTGTGGATAATATTGTTAAGGAGGCAGGTGGCCCAGTTGTTCGCGCGTGTTTTCCTTGGAAGGTTGTTGACATTGTAGGGAAGGGGCAAAGAAAATATTGGCTGGTTGATGTATATCCGTTTGACCTATTGTGTTTGGCAGTAGCATATAATACATCACCCAGTTTATGCACGAGTACAGTTCGTGTAGTCCATAACACTGTCAATACTAAATTGTACATGGGACGGACGAAACGACGCTGAGTATTATGCTACCGAAAAGAAGGCACAGGATGGTGGAATAATGAAAAACAAACTGAACTTGGAGATGAGAACAAGTTATGCTGTATTATAGGAAGGGGGCTCAACTGAAGAACTTGAATAGTCCTATTGAATAATATAACTACTTCATCATTTTTTCAGGGGGGGAGGGGGTGGGGGTTGATAAAACCCTTGTTGGGACTTCACGATACTTGCAGGTGCTTTCCTTGTCCTGGTTACCATATCAATTAAGTTTAACCATACCAATCAAGTTCAATTAAGATGAACACGCGAGAACCTCTAACTTTACACCGCAGCAAGTGGCATAGATCTTAGGCGCCGACTTGCAAAATCATTTTTTTTTTCAGACGGTAACTGTAACATGTCTTTGCGTATGTTAGCGATTCCGTGATCAGTTTAATACGAAATAAAGAAAGTGCTCTACTTGATTTGGAAGAAAACAAATTGAACACTTTGTATGTGTTGAACGTTTAACAAAAAAAGAAGAAGAAAACACAGAAACAAAAATAAAAACCTTAAATATTCACTTTCGCTTTGATTAAGAGTTAATTCACATCATACGTTTTTCATTAACGTCCGCGTCTAAATGCTTCATGATAAACCTCAACCACTCAAGACCAAACTCTATTTTATGGATGTTTGAGCCTGCTACATTAAAGACATAGTCCATCATTTGTAATTTGTGCATTTTGTTCGTTTGAAGCAACAAAAGTGTTCAAAATCTAATGAAGGATACTGAACAACTAACCTGATGAAGTTTCAGCTGAGCTTCAGCTGTATATTCTGAGTAAAACAGCATTCTAGGATCTCAATTTCAAATCAAAAGTTTCTAAATCATGTTTTGAATAGACCGCTTGCAGACGCGATCGATTATTGACGCGAAAAGGTGCGCGACGCCATGTTGTGGGACAAAATGTGCATGGATAGATATACGCTTGTCCCACAACATGGCGTTGCGCGCCTTCGCGCGTCGATTATCGAACGCATCTGCAAGCAGTCTATTGTAGCTTTATGCGATGTCGCGCACTGATTCGACGAATTATAGCAACCGTTCGCGCCTGTGCGTCGTGCCATTGCTTGCGCGCGCTGCGCCGAATAACAAAACGAACTACTAATTTAAATTTTCCTACGGTGCTTCTTAAGACGCACCGTTGAAAATGCCTTCTTTCGTTGATTTCTTCAAAATGAGAGCTTGCCAGAAATAATAATTTCACAGGGAGTTTAGTCCCCTTACTATCTTTCAACAAGTATGTTTTTCAACAATAATTACGCCAGTTACTTTTTTGGATAGCTGCAAATGATGGACTCCGGCTTTAATGACTCAAAACTTTGGTGAATTAGTTAACCGGAGGTGAATAAGAGCGTTTGACTGCACTACTACTACTTTTATCAAGCACGAACAAAAGTAAAGTGGAATATTGCATGAGTCTTAATCCATAAGTTATGTAGTACCATGACTCCCCGTTGCATGACTAATGGTCAATGGTGGCCATACAATCTACTTGTCGGATAATATTGTCACTGATGTACTCGTTTAATTAAGTTGACAAAAGCGTACGCGTAATGCATTAAATAGCCGGTAAAAAAAATATAGTCAGCTCTGCGCTTTCGTCAAGGCTGATATGCATTTGGGAACAACGGTGATGCATGTATTTTTATTGAGAAAGTAACGCCGTAGACTAATTGGTATACGCTTTGCAATCATGACACACCGCAAGGACTACATTGAAGTCATTAGACAATGTCACGCAAGATCTTATAATTACTGTTCTCGTTGAAGTGCATGATGAACTGGGAAGGGATTTTTTTAGGTTGCGAGCACATTGATCATACCCTTTTCAGAATGGTAGTTGCGAACTGTAAAAATATAAGCACACAAAAACAAGCTTTCAGACATTCAGTGACACAATAGGCAATCGTTTTCTGCGTTTTGAAAAGATACAAATGAACTTAACACTATAACTCGTTTCACCGAACTGAAAACTTGCTACTTTTACATTACAAAATCGTTTTGCGACGATCGATTTGGGGTCCTGTTGCCTACAAGTCACTCTTTTAGATTCGTAATTCTGATGTAAAATTCGCCCAAAGTTTGTTTAATTTCGTTTGGATGTGAAAGATTATATGTTGATTTGCGGCAGAGTTTAATTGTTCTTCCAACCTACGCAGGTTTATACTGTTAGATGGCGCTTTTCCCGGCCGGGTAGACCAAAGCAATTAACGTAGAAAATGAAAGGGTCTTTTACATTAATTCTTTTGATTTTTGAAAACCCTGATTGATAACTGTAAAGAATGTATGTGCAATGAAAGATCATGTGAATCTGTGCTAATAATTATGTCACTTTTCCACCTACATTTCCCTTCTTTTGTTTTTAGTACGGATTCATAAATCTCTGCGTGAGGGCGCTTGTTCTTGAAAAATTTGGAGACGAGGCTTGGCACAAAATAAGGTAGGCAATCTCCGTTGTTTGAAAAACGATGTTATACAATTATGATCCCGGAGACAGACCGAGAAATGAAATGGGAATACGGAACTATATCGGTAGCAGGTTTCTTGATTCCACCATGCAATACCCTATCAAAGTGGCGCTTTTCTGTTTGTATTTTGTTCATCAGTGTTGCTCAATAATGAAAGGTTTGCGGAAACACCATGTGCGAATAAGTTCTCAACTAAGAGAATGGTTCTGAAAAGAACCAGAGGTATAAACTCGACGTTCCGGTCAGTATGCTCTGACCGTCTTCAGGAGAGTGCCTAAATTCTAAGAAAGTGAATACTTAAGTAGCAAAAGGCGAAGTCAATGAAGTGTGAAGTTGCATCCTGTGAGGATGCCAAGTAGACAGGATCCTAGAACAAGCTTGGTGCCCACTGAAGTGGAACAGTAGGGTTGCAGTGTCAGTAGAGGGAGGACCTAGGGTATTGGAGACCCATCAGTCTAAGGTGGTAGCTGGGGACCTAGGGTATAGGAGACCCATCAGTCTGGAGAAGTGGGAGCCAGATGTCGTTGAGGTGAAACCCGATGTCTTGCGGAACTGTGTTGTGCTTGCTCAGTTATTTCTGAATATACATTGGATTCACTTGAAACTTGGAACAAACATAGACCCAGATCCCCAAGTGTGGATATCACTGTGACGTTACGTCATTAAGTATCAAATTACATGTTTAAAGGAACTAAGGGAAGACATGACTAAATTTATATTTTACAACAGTTGATGAGTTGAACCAAGTGTAATGTTACGTTAATAGTTTGTAGGCCATTCTTAGAGAAATCAATTTTAATTAACGTGGAAGCGAAATCGCGTGACCTGTACTTCCAGAAATACCGGAAAGTCAAAGTAAGGTAAAATCAAAACGTACCGATTGAACAGATTGAACCTCGATAAAAGCAATTATTACCCTGTGAGTGAGTGAGGCAGAAAGACAGCCTCGTTAAGCGTACCCTGTGTAGTGACCTCTAAAGACATCCATCGTTATTCAGTTGATTTAACCTATTACTGTATACTCTTTATATTTCTGGTTATGAAAACAAGTGCACGAGCAACAGCAATGCGGAGGGAGGGAATTAATCGAATGTTGTGCACTTTGAGACAAGCTTTAATCGGCATGCGTTTTTATTTATTAAGAACAGCCAACTTGACATTGAGAGATGACCATATTTAAGCTTGTTTACGACTAGGCGTAGAGCAATGATTATTTTGTAAGTGTAATTTTCATTGAGAGCTACTTTGAAGGGGGTCAGGGTGGAGGCCAGAGGTAAACCAGAGGGATACATCGAGTGCTAAAAAAAAAAGAGGAAAAAACAACTAGAGCTACGTGTGTTCGATGAACAGAACATAGGGCTTTTTCGCATAACACATTTTTTTATGAGTTTATGTTTTGTTTTGTCCATATGCAGTCAGTTAAATGATATGCAATAACAACGTGTACAAAGCCTATGGGATGTGGATGAAGAAAATTAAAACGGGTCCGGAGTATTTCCCCTGAAACGTTTTAAACTTTACGATTTTTTTTGTGCACCAAGGGCTGTGTGGAGCCGATGTGATTTAACCCTAAAGGAGCCGGGCGGGGGGGAGGAGCGGAATCCCCCCTCAACATTTTCCGCGATAGCCTCTAAAAAGATTTTTTTTTTCGCGACCCGAGCTGTTAGGACTTTTTAGCCTCGAGCTTTGCGCATCTTTTGATACCAAAAACATAAAAATCGGACCACGGATTGCCGCGTAGCGAAAAATTTTCCCGCGCTACGCGCCGTGAAAGCTGAATTTTCGCATATACGTCGTGTACAAAGAGCAGAATTGCCATTCGTACATATGAATAATTAATAAGCCATAATTCGAAAACCCTTTGACCGATAGTCATGACATTTCTTGGGTATGTTTAGGAAGAGTTGCTCTATGCATGTGCTGAGTTTCAAAATTTTTCGTCACTCGATGGCCGAGATCTTAGGGGGGGGGGGCGGAATCCGCCCCCCCCGGCTGAGAGATGGTCAAAATAACCCGGCCCCTTTAGGGTTAAATTTGCAGCACACGATTACATTGGCATATGTCGTCCCCCTCCTCCCCGAAATATTCACCATCCAGTAGGGCTGAAAATACTTAGAACTTTTTAAAAGTTTATACAGTTACATCCCCCACAATATTTGTTTGGTAGGGTCGCCAATGACGATGCCACCCCCTTCCCCGCATTTTAACCCATCGTACCTATAATATTTGCACTATAGTTTAAAAAAAAAAGTGTAATAGTTGTTCGCAAATGTTTTTGCACCGACTTTTTCTCGGAGATGGAAAATATATTGCGAATACTGGGTCGAAATGTGCATATATGGGGTGCTGTGGTCCAATGGGTACGGTATTCGACTCGTGTACCTTGGTACATGGGTTCGAATCCTGACCGTGGGAACATGGTGCTTGTGCTCTTGAGCAAGGCACTTTACCATAATTGCTTCACCCTTCGGATGGGACGTGAAGCCGTATAGGTTCTGTGTGTTGTGTACGTTGCACGTTAAAGTAACACTTATCGCTAAGAGAAGGGACTTGCCCCAGTGTTTCTGGCAGTGGCTGCAATATGCGCCGCAGCACCTTGTAAACCCTAATAAAGGTGCTACATATTGGGTGCCGACATTTCCCTTAAACTGTATATTCCTTCTTTACTAATAGACATAATTTCCAGCTTCTTGTGTACCTAATTGTTGGTGGATACGTGCGCTATATATATAAGACTCCGGTATTATATTATTATGTACATGTTTATATGTGTGAAAACATATATGTTTGAACAGCGCTCTCTTTAGTCATATGGGTCCAGCCCCCCCCCCACCCAGTTTTCATATATCCAAAGCTGCTGGTACTCCCCCCCCCCCTCCCCTTCCAATGTCGTACATGTGCGTGCACTCGACGTGACACTCTGGTCTCCACACGATAGAAAATTGATACCTAAGAGGCATTTCAGGTGTCAACTCACGTAAGTGGCCTTGAAATTGTGTCACCTACAGGATAAGAGAACGACAAAAACCCAAAGATTTCCCTCCTAAATCCAATACAGTGGCGCGGTAGTCGTTGCAAGCCTGTGGCACCTTTGCAGCGACTTTCACGAAATCGTGCTAATTTGGGAGAAAGGGCGCAGTGAAGATCCTGCCGTAGTGTCGCTTCCACCTGGTCTCACCATATGGCCTAACGTTGATTGACTCTGCATAGGCCTACCGGTGTAGAAAGGCATGCATATACATTGTATTGTCTTCAGCTGTTTATATTGTAACATGACGCCACTGTCGAAATGTTGATAGGTCTGTTCGGGTTGGCCAGGTGCTGGTTTATAGCTCCATGGTTTAGCACAGGTGTTCTCTCTGTTATTATCCCCAACAAAGGTGACGGCTCCCGGAATGTGGAGGTACTAACAGGCAGAGGTGGCAGCAAGTCATTTTTTGCAAGTCCAAGTCAAGTCACAAGTCATTGTTTGCCAGTCCAAGTCAAGTCACAAGTCATTAGGTCCAGTCACAAGTCAAGTCACAAGTCATTAGGTCCAGTCACAAGTCAAGTCACAAGTCATTTGGTCTAAACACAAGTCAAGTCACAAGTATCTTTGTCCAAGAACACGTCAAGTTGCACATTATTTTGTCCAGCTGTAATAAGCTAAAAGAACCTCGTGTCAACTTACGAGTTATTTTGAACATGCCTCCTTAATTCCCCTTTTTCAATGTGTTGCAATTACTATTCTTGTAGTTTATCACATATCTGTCGGATATTAGCCCTTTGTATACTTTAATAAATTTACTTTACATTGTAGAAATAAATGTTGAGATGACATGAAAAAAAGACTTCACTCACTCGATTACATGTAGTATACTAACACTTCATTGTTCAATTTTCATGTATACTAAACGCCCAACAAACCTTTGACCCGCACCCATTGACATGTAGGCCTACATTTGTATTGTTACCATGGAGCTTTACATTGCAGACATGTCCGATCTGGAATTAGGGAAAATATACATTCGGTCTAGGGCAGATTGTCAAGTACTAAAGGCTAGAAGTTATTTAGATTCAATAGCCATACGCGTACGCAACGTAACAGCTCAGCTCACTGATAATTTTATGATCTACAGCTGCAGCTGGGCGAAGTAGAAACCGCGCAAGCCAAAGTCCGTTTTTTAATGCACGTAAAAGGCGTAAACCGAATAGCTAATTAAAAGTATAATAGCTTAATTAAAGTGTATTGGCCATTGGGTCGCTCGAGTAGCGTCTGACTTGGGTTGGTAACAAGTCATTTTTTGCAATCCCAAGTCAAGTCACAAGTCATTGTTTGCAAGTCCAAGTCAAGTCACAAGTCAAAGCTGGTATTTACAAGTCAAGTCACAAGTCACAAAAACAGCGACTCGAGTCCGACTCGAGTCCAAGTCACATGACTTGAGTCAGCAACTCTGCTAACAGGTGACGTACAGGGACAATGGTATTTGTCTTTGTATACAAACCACTCTACCTCCTAAAGATTGCAGGCAATAACACACACGAACATATAGACGACATTGCAATCAGCATTGAAAAGGTTTCAAAGTCTGTTTCTTACATTTCCTCCTTTGATGTCAAAGGTCACGGTGTTCAATAAACAAACAAAAAACTCACAGTGTCAGAAAAAAACATTGCAATTTAATCAAGAATGTTCGTCCTATGTTTACGTATTTGAGCACAGCGTCCACGATTAATACCTTACAATTTTTTTCTTCTAAACCCCGACTTGTCTTTGATCGACGGTCAGAGCCCGGATTCTCTCTCCCTCTGATTGCTTTGAGAACCGAACATTAAAGCAAATGCCAGTAACCAATTTGGACGTGTTGCGTGCATGACTGAACGCCAACCAACCAAGAAAGAAACAAGACCTGTAATTTCTTGTGCCTTTGACTTAAACACAATATCGGATACTTCTACCGACCTCGAGTGCCCTACGAGGCAATCAATTTAA